TTTAAACTTACTTCGCCTTTAGTTGAACTTTAAACTTTTTGGGTTTCCTTTTTTAGTAGGAATATTGAAGTTAAAACATGTTTCCCTTTTGTTATTGGAGGAGTAAGTATATGGTTGCAGATGAGGCTTGAGCCGTATACGCAAACAGAAATATATGCATACACAGCTGACCTTGTTCTTTGCAAGGCAACACTGTCGTCTGACCTGGTCCCACAACCCAGGGACTTGCAATCGTGCAGCATGCGCACTGCGAGCCTGGCCATGCAACGGGGCGGCCGTGGCCCCGTACATCATGCACTCAGTGCCCGCGCTTGCGGACGGCTCAGCCCTTAGCCCTTTCATGATTTGCTTGACTTAAGGGACACACTGCTTCTGCCTTGGTGTCAGACAGCTGCTCCCTTTTATTGGATGCTGTGTGCCGGTTCTTCCATGCTTTCCAAAGCCTGCAGGCGCTCCTAGAACCCCAAACCCTGGAAACTCTAAAGAAACCCTAAAGAAGCCCGAAATCCCCGAAACTCCGAAGCCCCCAAAGCCCCCCGAAGAAACCCTAAGGAAACCCGAAATCCCCGAAGCCCCCAAAGCCTCAAGAAAGCCTAAGCCCTAAGCCCTAAACCCTAAAGCCCCACGAAAGCCTCCGCTCCCTTCAGGCAGGGATGGAGCCTTCGCGCTCGCCCGCCGCCTCAAAGGATTTGGTGGCCCGTGGCCACAGGCAATCGGTTCACTCCAGGGGTCCTAGATTCTATAGGGTTTAGGGTTAGGGTTTATTTAGGGTTTAGTGTTTAGGGTGTGTGTGTGTGTGTGTGTGTTTTCTGGGCTTAGGGCTTAGGGCTTGCATTATACTTCCGGAACGTCGTCATTGAGGCCGTTTTTGGTTCTAGTAACCGCATGATTCGGTGCCTGGAAGTCTGGGGCTAGTACTTTCTTTTCGTGTCATACGTATCATTACCAGTATTTCATATCTACTCGTATCGTTGATTGGTATTGACTCCGTAGTATTAGAACTCGAACTAGTGTCGGACTGTTGACATAAGTCTTTGTATCAGTATTAGTATGAGCACTGGCACTCGTACTGCTTTTGAGGGCACACCGCAAGCTAGGCACGTAATCATCAGCTGGCTCCAGGCTAACTACGCGTGCATCATAACCCTAAACCCTAAACCCTAAACCCCAAACCCTAAACCCTAAACCCTAAAAGACTGCCGACCGGGGATGCTCCGCAGGCTGTCCTCATCATGGAAGAGGCCTGCGCAATGAGGGCCCCCCGGCCTGAACCCGGGGTTTGGGGGTTTAGGGTTCAGGGTTTAGGGCCCAGAGTTCGTCCCATGATGCAAAGGAGGACACGCTGCAGCAGCACTGCCGGGGTTCTGAAACGCTTCTTTAAAACACCTAAACGTCCTAAGCCATTCAGCCCTTAGCCCTAAACCCTGAACCCTAAACCCTAGGTGCTACCGGACCTTGTCACCTTCAACACGCTGCTGAAGGTCCTTGGCCGGAGCGGCGAATGGGCGTCTCGGCAGAGGAATCTCAACTCTCGGAGTGTCGGTCCTTCCCAGCAAGCCCAACAGCCCTTAGTTGTAAGGAAGCTTAGGGTTCGTAAGGTCTAGGGTTAAGGGCACCTTGCTTCATCTTAAAGCTTCGGCCCGCTATATTTTGTTTTAGGGATGCTCCTTATTCAAGGGGCGTTGGGCTCTGCAGAGTTTCTAGAGTTTGACAGGGCTTGGGGTTGGATCCATGTCACCTCTCTCTCTCTATATATATATATATATTCATATACATACATGCATACATACATGCATATACATATACATATATATATATATGTTTACATTTATACATACTTGGGTGTGCAAGCTAGTGTAGAGGAACCCCTTAAGGCTCCCAGGCATGTATAGCTCCATGTTGAGCCTTTCGAGGGTGTTAGGGATGCTTTCTAGGGCTTGCGATTGGGGTCCATGGGGGTGCTCAGGGTTCCGAGTGCCAAGGGTTTCGAGGCCTTCGAAGAAACTTATACAAGTCCGCAAGGCAGGGGCCGAAGGTTTAGGGTTTCGGGTTTAGGGTTCAGGGTTTAGGGTTTAGCCCAGATGAAAAGGTGTCTTCACCCTGATGCATAGGTTTACCCTCAGTGTGAGAATGGGGGCTCTTGGGGTTTACCCTAGACTAAACCCCAAACCCCAAACCCCAAACCCTAAATCCAAACCCTAAACCCTAAACCCCAAACCCTAAACCCTAAACCCCAAGCCCTCATGGCCTTCATGGGGGCTTTGCCCTTCTTGTCCGAGGTAGCAAGCCTCAGCGTGCTGTGCGCCATCAGCGCAGCGACCGCCAGGCTCTTCGAAAGGTTCTGAGAGAGTAATGGAGAGGCTTCCGAAAATTCCGAAAAGAGGCTTGTAGCGTTTAGGGTATGCGGGGGACGTGTCGGCGCTTAACCGCATGGGATCAGCGTCTACGATACTGTGGTGTGGTAGTTGTGCAGATGCGTCTCCAGGCCAGATATCATCTCGAGCAGCACGGCGGTCAAGACCTTCACCACAGGAACCCAGTCCCTGCCTTAGCAGCAACGAGTCTTTAGGGTATGGGGGTTTAGGGTCTAGGGTTTTGGGTTTAGGGTCTAGGGTTTTGGGCTGCATATGGGTAGCAGGGGTAGCGCTCGCCACTGGCCGCAAGATGTTTGGGATGCCTTTACCTAGGTTTTTGGGACATTTTCGGTTTTCCTTATATTTGGGTTTATACGGGCCCTGTTCACAGGGGCATAGAGAGCAGTTCTCTTGAGCACCACACGAGTGAGAACAGCACACGCATGGAAGGCTACACGGTGGGTTGCCCTCAGCCTCTAAAGGCCGCTGATGTTCGCCTGTGCCCCCGCTTAGGGTTCAGGATATAGGGTTTAGAGTTCTTAAGAGTCAGGCAGTTCGGGAAACATGCCCACAAGTGTCCCTTAGAGGATCCCTTTAGGTTCCTAATTCGCTAGCTTCCTAAACCCATTGTTCCTAGTCGAGTGAGCTGTGTATTTGTTTATCGACCCTTACGGGAACTGCCCTATCTTCCTCACTCCGCAACCAAGCCCTAAACCCTAAACCCCGAACCCCAAACCCCAAACCCTAAACCCTAAACCCGAAACCCTAAACCCTAAACCCTAAATCCTAAACCCTAAACCCAAGCAAGCCAAGCAAGCCAAGCAGCAAAAGTCAGAGCCAGGTGGCGCGAGGCATTAGGGCTCCTGTGCGCCGCGCCAGAGGGCGCTGTGCAGCCGGACGTCATCGTAGGGGCGCCCGGCATCCTCGAGAAAATTTAGGGTTTAGGGTTTAGGGCTTAGGGTTTAGGGTTTGGTATTCTCGGGGTTGAGAGCTTTACTGTGGGCTTTGTGGGGGCGTTGTGGTCAGGGTTTCGGGCAATGTCGTCTTCCGCTGCTGTGTTGGGTTTGGGGTTTGGATTTTGTGGGGTCGAGATTGAGGTTTCAGGGCATATAGGTGGCACAGGGCCAAGACCTGGAAGGGAAGTTCGGGGCGATCGGTACTTAGGTGAGGACCCCGTAGTACACCCCAAGATGCATGAGCGCATCAAAAAATGCAAGAGTCACTGCCGTACTCTAGACCCCTACTTTCGGAAGCCCGGGCCCCGCCAAGGCCTTCAACTCCCTTCTGACCAGCACCTACAGAGGCGCACTGGCTGCTTGCTGCCTTGCTGCCTTGCCTGCAACGCATATGGGGGGTTTCCGAAATTTGGGGCACCTTTTTGGGGCCCTTGGTTAGAAGGGAATACTACCATTTTGGGGGGTCTATTTCGGGGTCCCCTATGTTCGTAAACCCTCATATTGTCCGTTCTGCAGTGGATCGTGCCCTTCGAGGGAGCAATGCGTTCTAGGTCATCTGATCTTGCGTCAGCCTTTGCTGTGTCACGCACCCGCGGCCGGCAAACTCCCCTTGGCTCAATGCGTAGACTGGAGGAGATCTTGTTGTTTGTTTTGCTGTTGCTTCTGGATACTGCCTGGTAATAGAAGTCGCCCAAGTCATGCGAGTGGTCCAAGCTAGTTTTGCTATTCATTCTGTCAAACCTGGCGGCACTGGCATTCTGTGTTTGTCGTGTTTCACCCCTTTGTTTCCTCTCCTCCTATCTTTGAGGATGTGACGTTGGTGTCTGCATAGGGAATTGCGTGTTTTTTGAGTTGATCAGACACGACAGTCAGGCCAGTGAGACAGTACCGTAGTGACTGTCATAGGCCAACGCAATGCTACAGCCCCTAAGGTACCTTTGTGCAGACACCGACAAGGGGGCCCTTTCTGGAAAAAAAGGAACGCAGCTAGTCAACATGACAATGCGTCTGGATTGAGCTTCTGCTATGAGCTAGTCGGCGACAATTTCACAGTTTCAGCTGCTTTGCTTTTGAAGGAAGGGCCCCATTCGATTTCACAACCTATACTAGCTAAATGCGCGGGGAATGCTTCTGAGTGCCCTAAGCCCTAAACCCTAAACCCCAGACCCTAAACCCTAAGTAAACCCTAAACGTCTAGTGGCAACGTCAACACCAAGGCGCGCTGGACATGGCGAAGTGTCTCTAAAACTATAGCACCCAGTAGGTGTACCCCATACTCTCAGGTACCTGACGTTATGACTAGGATACTCGAACCCTCAGAGGGGACACAAGAATAAACCCTAAACCCTAAACCCTTGGAAGTCTACCTCCAAAATCGCTGACACATTCCATCCAACGAGGGAGTTGCCAGGCCGAACTGCTTGAAGATGCCACTTGATGTGATAGGATGTAGGGTTTAGGGTTTAGGGTTTAGGGTTTAGGGGTTAGGGTTGACTTTGTTAGTTTCTAGGATCTTGTACTGTGCTACATGACGCTAGGGTTTATAGCAGATCTTTCAGAATGGTTGGGTGTTAAGGTTGAAACAACTGATAAAAAAAAGCCCTAAACCCTAAACCCTAAACACTAAATCGCAAAGTTTGGCCTGGCAGCTCTCTTGCAATCTTCCGCTTCGTACGCGTCTTGGCGAGCC